TTATTATTATTATTATTATTATTATTATTATTATTATTATTATTATTTTTAGACACACATTTAACCTAGATTATCTTTAAGAAACAATCAGACAACCAGATAAGAAAATATCTCTCCAGGTTTTGAACTTTCATTTAATTATGACTCCTATCAGTGGCACCATAGACTTTCCCATGAGTGGACCAGATGTTTTCACGTAGGGGCAACTGTAGGTGTAAAATCAAGGGTCTCAGCGTGACTGGCTTTACTGCATTCAGTGTCCCTTCTTTTTAAGTAAACAGAGGTGGCGTAATCCTTAAGATGTAGATAAGGACCCAGGGAACTCCCCAGAGCTAAATGGCTCTGGCAGCTGCTGGGAGTCCCTTAATCCTATCTTTCACCCATAGGATCAGTTCCTCCAGTTTGGTTTGACCTTAGGCATTAGGCATTTTTTTTTTCCTAACTTTTTAGTAGCCAGCTCCCAAAAAGTCCATCCTCTGCTTGCAGTTGTTTCGAGTGCTAGGCTTCCCCAAGAAAGCAGAGTGGGAACTCCTTAAAAGTCCCCTTGAGAGTGTCAAAATTTGTGACTGAAAATTTGGTTCCCATCTCTAAAGCCAATTAACACTAATTTAATAATGAGGACAGGGCTTTGAGAAAAGTCAAAGCGAGATGTCAAAGTTGTTAAATCCCCAGCAGGCATCTCTATTTGCACTCAAGCCGGTTATGGGGGGGGGGGGAAGAAAACATTGCTTCCCTAGTCTCAGTATTCAGCCTTAGATGGAATTTATCATCCGCCTTGGGCTGCATTTCCAAGCAGCCTGACTCCAGGAAGACCCGTTCGCTTCCTGGGGTGGAGGGGCCGGGAGGAACAGGGACGGGACAGATCCGCCATACCGCCGGGTGGAATCCTCCCGGCAGACTGCGCGGACCCCACCCATGCAGGAGGAGATTCGCAGAGGTCCTGAAAGGTTAAAAGCCATGATCTGGATGGCCATGCGGCCCCGGCTGAAAGACAATCTCTGACTTTGCAGATTAGAGAGAGAGATGGAGGGACTCTCCTGGGGGCCATTCAACTCCGAGGGTGGGCCAATATTGGCCACTCCGTGGTACAGAGTGTTACCAATTTTTTTCTTCTTAACTGCCACGGACAAGTTGTTTGCCCGCTCTTGAATGTCTTGCCAATGATCTAGAGTGAGGCTCAAAGGGGTTGT